GAACCGCTTCGCTGATGTGCATAGACTTATCGAGCTGTTTAGGCTTCCTAAGCCACCGCTTCCTCCTATCGATGTAGGAGATCACGGTTCGCCTGCTTGGCGCGAAAGCGTTCCACCAACTTGTGTTCCGAGGCGGTACAACTCTTTCGACTCCTGCTCTGCGAGTGGAAAGAGTCTCTCCCGTACTGCCCCTACGACACTGGGGATGTTGTCGTTGGAGAAAAGAACTTCTGTCCCCAGGTCTTCGGCTATAATGTATGCCTTGCTCCTTAAGGAGTCGAGAAACTTGGAGGCGAGCTCTGCACGCTCGTCCACCTTAGTCTGCTTCCACCGCGTCATAGCACGGAACTCCCATTCGTGAAAATCACGAACGGTTCCGCCATAGACCAGGAAGCCAAACTTTGTCAGGTCTGTGTCTAGATCCTGATGCGGTCGATAAGCTAGCGATCCGCTAGCCATGGCGACCACGCCCGCGCAGGGGGCGTCCTATTGGGTTCGAGCTCTGGTTCTCTTAACCGAGAGCTCCGCCACCAGTGCGAAGACTAGTCACTTTTCCGCTAAGCCCTAGGCTTGGTCCAAGGGGCCCCTGCAGTCAAGGGGTGCTGTCAAAACTCTGTAAAGAACTAGGTACAGACACTATACGCGCTGCAAAATGGGTCGGTTTCACAGAAACCGACCTTGCTGTAAGGAACTCAGACGGCTCATAGTAAGATGCTCACAATCCCAAAAAGCTCAACCCACATCTTCAAACCCTACTTGCCTGATAAGCTAGAAGCACCATCAACGATTCGTAAGGGGCACGGGCCCTAAGAGTAGTTGAGCATGACTTGGCCAATTTTGGGGGTCCCGCTGTTGGCCGGCGATGTTCCAGACACTTTAAGCCAACATTGGCTAAACTTAATCGTTGTTGTCGGCCAGGCTTTCAAGCCAATCATTTATTTCTCAATGTGTTTTGCTTTCTGGCCCGGCCACTATCATGGGATGTTCACCCCCTGTGGGAATATCTCACATACAACACTAAGGCTGCCTACCTCTAAGAAATATTGCTCCTGTAAGCTCGGTCTTCTACCGTGAAGCCCTCGCAGCTTGTCTCCGCAACCCCAAGAATTGAACAAATCACTGGTTGTTCGAGGGGGCTTCTAGTATAGGTTGACGCTTGGAGTGTTACAAAGGTTTGCAATGTTCGTGCCTGTTACAACAGTCTTGACTTTGGGAGAGGCTGTCAATATTCATGTTAAACAGCAAACAGCCTTGACTAGGGACAGTGAGATGCGGATATCCAACTTTGTTGAAACGTCTGTCCATGATGGAAAAGACCAACTTGTCCATCGTGTTGATTGTAGCTCAAACAACCTTGAGCACGTGTCCTTCGAACCAACATCGTGAAGACTGCGACAACCCAAACCACTGCGACACTTCCGGTGACATTGAGGGGGCGGGAGTTTTTGAGTTCAAGGCGTGGTTGAGGGTTTCCACAGAGTGCGATACAGCTCGAGTGAATAATGAAACCTGAATCATTGAAGATTTGGATCTTTGCCGCTGTGGCTCGTGTTGAGGTCCTTCAAGCCGAAACCTTCCGAGACGTTGAGCACCTCCGGACTTCAAGCTCACGGTTTTGACAGAGACTTTGAATGGTGTCACGAGGGGTGGCAGAACGATCCTACGGGGTTCATCACAAGCCCAAGCCTAACAAGGTTTTAGAACGATCTTATGAGGTTGCGAGCGCTTTATAAGGCCGTTAGGGTTTGAAGATTCAGGGCTAAGGCCTTGAAGCAATATCCCACAAGGTCTGCTGAAGGCTCGATTCGGTTGCAGGGCTAGGTTGCGACCGGTCTAAACAAGCTTTCAGTGAATGAGCCCTCCGCAAACCCTCAACCTTCTAACTTTTTTGAATCCGAACCAAACCCAAACCGCCAAACCCGGGCCCTTGCCAGACCTTTCTACTTAGTGAAGTTAGGTCCGAAGGAAACCAGATCCCTAAAAAACCTCGATCGCATTAATAGCCAGCAATAGCCTCGCGTAGGTTTATAGCCCGACCCCATAATCAAGTTTGCCCTTGTCAAGCAGTATTCAAACGCATTTGCACAGTCGACCTGCTGCGAACAGTCTCCCTCCATAGTAGTCCCTTTTCTAGTTTCTCGGCTGTGCGACGTAGTGCTTCCAAGACACTCAAGCCACAGCACCCAGTTGCAATGCCATTCATTCGCTCGCCATGTCTGCGAAGCTCTTGGCCGCCGCGACCAATTCCTCCCGTGTTGCCAGCGGCACAGTCACCCATCTCTAATTAGTATTTATGTGCTGGCTGTCCTTTTTTAGCAGCCATTCCTTGGTCCGTCGGGGCTTGGGGGGAAGGGAGGGGATTGTGCGAAATTGAGGTTCGTATGGTCTGCTCTTCCATCAGGGTATGGTATTCCTGGTCCTCAGCGATAGAGTGTTTTTGGAGGGTGCTCTGGACTCTGGATGTGGGCTCCTCCCTCACTCGGTTCACACGAGTAATTACTGCGCTAGTGAGGGCACGGGAAACGGCGCAGCGATTCGCAGAGCGGTTCGTCCGCAAGGAGGATTTTTCCATTCCCTCCTTTCGCATGTTTACCGGCGAACTGCGTGCTGCATGGTATTTTGAGCCTTGTAGCCGGTCGCGCAGTGCACGCAAGAATCGGGTTTCTCCGGCGCCCTCGCGGCACCTGGTCCTAGGAAATTTTCGCCATGGAGGTTTCGTTAAAACTTCCTGTCAAAACATATATTGATAGTGGACTTGGAGATGCCTGGAGCTACTTAGATGGAAGAGGGACTTCGCAAACTCGGTCAGTAGCATAGTCAACGTGAGACCGTGTTCGAGTTCTGCTAGCCGGGGACGGGAAAGGATGCTCAGACTGCAACCTTCAGAAAGCCTTGTGGGTGCATAGCAAAACAGCTCGACCGCTCTATCACCTAATTCCTCCCTCTCCCTCTCCCTCCTTGTCACTCGCTCACTCCTCCAACCGGCCAACATGCTGTCTTATTCGGTGCTCACGCACGCTCATTTGCATGACCAAACTCCACACGGTCCGCCAGAGGCCCGTCCTGCAGGGCCTGCTGGTACCAGCGCAAGTCGCTGTTGTTCTCCACCCACGTGGCCCAATCCTTCAAAGACAAGTCGAGGCTTGACCAAAGCACGACTCTCTCCAGGGCCTCCTCCGGCATGTCCGAGGAGTCCGACATTGCACGAGCACCGGCTGCTTTACAATTACGCTCGAGCTGAAGTGACGTCTGTCTGCGATCGACATACGATGACACGAAGCCCAGACAAAACCGCGCATCTGCCAGTTCAGGTTTTTTCAAGCTTGTAGCAGGCCATCCGAGCATTTCTGAGCACGACACCCGCTCCTGCATTTTAGCTTCGGTTGTGGAAAACTGAAGACACTGAGACGGCACTTCGGAAGCTTCGAAGCTGCATGTTAGTCACATAGAAGCCGCTCATTATTCATACATTCCACAAGCTAGGCAGCTACGCTTCATGTGGGCCGTACACTCCTCACCCATGCAACTTCCAACGCCATCCTTTCAATCCCATTCTCGCTATGACGGGTCATCTCCAACAACGTTGCAGGAGTACGCCCGCTGTAAGCTTTGGAACTGTACAGATCGCAGTGGCTCAGTAGACCATGGAAGTGATTATCCGCCTTTGCAGGGCTGTGTGCATTGTCCGGTTTCCATTGGTCTCTGCACGGATTCCGCGACTGCTTCAACACACTCCACGCAAAGCATGCAGCCATGCAGACCACGGACCTCTCGCGGGAAAGTCCCCGGATCACACAGTGCGGCCTGCGAGTTGTTGGACTCAAGCCACGAGCTACTTGTGGAATCCTTGGCAGCTCCTGTCTGTGACAGTCAATGGCAGCCCATTTAGATCCCTTCAACGTTCGCACTGCCTCGTTCGCGACAGCACGCAGTGCGCCACCTCAGAGACAACAAAAACGGCCGGCTGGGAGGTTTTCTGAATGCCGTGCCTGCTGTGCTTCACCAGACTCACTACAGTAGAATCAACAACACGAACCCTGCGGCGCTCTTCAGGTGGGTGGGAACTCTTTCACAGCTCCCTCGACAGCCCGGCGGGGTTCTTGCGCTGTCTGCACTTGGCAACTGCTCCTGCAACCTGATGCATAAGTTTCCTCTGTTAGAAACTGCAAACCTGCAGCTCAGTCCCGGCATCAGTACTTTCTGTTGCACCCCTTGACACTGCTTCCTTTGCGTCTGCCCGGCGCGAGTGGTTGCGTCGCAGGGCGCCTGGGTGGAAGCTTTCTTCCGACACGCTGGCACCGACTCTAAAGCACGACTGTGATCGAGTTGAATATGAGGACATGCCAGCGGCTTCGGAGTCGCCACGCCCATGCATGCCCATTCATCACTTTCACCCAGTTCTGCGGCTTCGTGCAGTGCCCACCACGCCGAAGCGACACACGTTGCCGGCTCCTGCACTATGGATTCTTGGTGCCGGCTGAGCGCAATCACCCCGAGGCCCTCCTACAACTTCTGGACTTGCCATGTTGTGGACATGCCACGCTATTGACGAATCTTTATTTGCCACTTCCGCCCTGGGTGTCCGCGTGAGCATCGTTGTGCGCAGGCTCGGGCGATTCCCAAAGCGCGAACCAGGCTTTTGCAACAAAGCTTTCGTCTGCAGCCTCTGTGTATCTCTGTCCGGTAGCCGTCGAGATCAAGGGCATGCCGAGCTAAGGTTCACTTTCCCACTGCTCTGCGAGGCTTTGTCGCTGTCCTCGGCCCTAGGCGCAGCTTGGCAGAGATTCTCTTTCTCAAAGTTCGCCGAACCCATGCGTCTGCTAGTTGTGAGCTCGATAAGGGTCTGAGGTGTCCGCTTCTCGGTGGGCCATCCTTGTCAACGCAGATGGCAAGGTGGAGAAGCAGCTTGGACCCAGACGTATCGATTCCGTTGCGGCAATAACGTGGGCTACAGAGCATGGCGCTTACCATTCCGAGGTTCTGGGGCTCGGTGGCGAGCCTTAGACTTGATTCTGTTTGCGAGCAGAAGGTTGGCCTGAGTTCTCCTGGAAGCCCAGGTGGCTGCTCGTACCTTCCCGCAGACAGCGCTGGATGAGATCTAGTGTGAGTGCTTCATCTCCACATCTTGCCGCTAGTTGATTGGTTTGTTTTTTTGTTTGGTCGCCGCTGGTTTTGATCTCACTTCCTTGGGACAGGTGCTGTGTAGCAAGTTCAGTATCAGCTGCCAGGCTCGCGTTCAAAGAAGCTTGCCAAAGGTTTGCTGTGAAATCTTAGGGGGATCCACAGGCGACGTAGGGAGACGGTACCCACAAAGTAGCACGTCACAACTCATGGAATCCAAGAGGCAGGCTGCAAACCTGCATAAGCCAGCAAACTCCAACGAACATTGACTAGCATTCTGCACCAAGTCATGCATATCTCCGCATGGTCATTCAAAGCATCGCAGGTCTTGCGACCTGCGTGGTAGCTTAGCCCTATGCTCACGTCGCAAGCACGTCGCAGCGTCGGAGGTTCTTGCTCGACAGAGAGAGAGGGGGACAGAGGCAAAGAGAGAGTCACTGAACAGCCGAGCGCGAGCAAGCATGAGGGAGGCATATCCACAGGAGCAATGGAGGTCGCATCATCCGCCTGCCCAAGGACAATGAAAGTCTCTCACCATGGACGCGCCACAGCAGCAGCAGCAGCAGCAACAGCCCTAGAGCGTTGATGGTTCTTGTGTTTTGTCCACCCCCCCCTGTCTACCCTGTCAATTCCAACTCATGTGTCGTTGTGCTTCCGCGTGCGATCCGGAGAGCCGAATCGCATTTGAGGAGAGTTGGGGAGGTAATGGGAGGTGAGTTGTGCTGTTTGCATGCACCCTTCGATGAGTCAACGCCATCACAGCTAGGCCAGAAGCCAGCCAATGCAAGCTGACGGAAATGTTCACCAGTGATCGTTTGCCATCAAACCAGCGGTAAGGTGACGTCGACTAATTCCAGGCATTGCAATGAAAAGCCGACACGATGCAAACTTCCGACAGTTGCTGGGTGCCCCCGCCGAAATGGTGGCAAAGTCCAACACGGGACGAAGCTCCTAGACTTTGGATGGTGTATCCTGGCTTCGCGAGTTGCAAACAGGCCAACTTCAACACAGCTAACGTCGAAGCATCGCTACCTCCATCCACTACGTGCACACGGAACTCAAGGATAAAGACGGTCCTCGGCACTGCGTGGTCGTGCCCCCAGCCACCTCCGCACAGAGGATAGTTGCCAAAGACGGAATGAAATCTGAGCATTGTGGACATTTGAAAGAACAAGTCTGCACCAGGGGCTTTCAAGCCCTTCAGGTGTTCGAGCAAAGGGAAGCCCAGAGAAGAGTACAACTTGGAAATCGACGTGCCGACGAACCACCACAAGTTAGAAGACCGCCAAACGTGTTCAACTGACGGATTTTGTTCCAGCTCTAGACGATCTTCTCCTTCTTGTTCTGAAGAGCCCAGAGCCAAGGGCCACGCACCCTTTCCAGGGACAACCCCCTCTTATGACACACCAGAACAGACGAGACGAGCCTGGCAAACTGGCTTCACATTGACGACGTGCTGCTTTAAGTATAGCACTCGCACTGGACGGGTCAGGCGAGGCTTCGGGAAGCAACCACAATCGTTGCTCTGATGATCTTGAGCCTTGATCTTGCACGCGCTGGTTGACATAAGCTTCCGACCCGCCACGCAGTAGGCCGGTAGACAGACAACGACACGCAACATAACGACTTGACCCCTTTCTCCACCGTCACAGCCGTGTCACCTTCACATTGAGTTTTTTTCCGGCTGACCTTGCACCACTGGCTGAACTCAGCTATTCTCAACATGTGCATGAGGACGAGCACTTGCACCGCAGACAAATGAAAGGCCTGAACACCTGTACTCCCATACTGGACTGAAACCTATCCTTTTGGGGCGAACCCATAATGCCAGTCGAATCGTGCCCTTTGGGTGGGGCGGCCCGACGTGTGGAAGCCGGCTACTATGTCTGCCTCGGCGGGTCTGCGATGTTTCTCATGATCTGTCCCACTGTCTTCTTAGCGGATGACCACAGGCCATTCGACGGTCCCAGCCCCGGAGTGACCTCCGCCGGCGCGAGGGGTGTCGGCTCAGTGCATGCGGTTGGCTTCGGACTTCTCCATCGGCACAAACGATATTTGAAGAGACCTGTGCCGCCCAAGATCTAACTCAACTCAGTACTTCGCGAATAGTGGCTGCATGCGGGCGCTTGCAAGGCAAGATGCGAAGTGCAGACTCTTGCAGGTATACCGTGCTTCTCTGAACTCACAGGGATACAGCCACCGAAGTCGGCAGAAGCAAACCTCTAGCACCGGCATTGCGCATTTTGAAGCTTTACGCTGATGTCAACATGAAGCAACACCACAGAGGAATCTTTGATGTGGGGACAAGGAGAATTACAACACAAAGCCATTCCAGATCGTTCAACTCGAGAAGCTGTATAGGCAGTTCAGCTATGTCAACATGCCGACTTATGGTGGTGAGAAGGACGCTACAAAATCTAGCAAATTGCGACTGGCTCTAGCAGCAACTTCAGACTTCGGCACACAGGCTTGCGCAGGCTGGTGGGTTGCAATGCACAGCTGATTAGCCTTGGACTAGTATGAAGGGACTGTGCACACCGGGGTAAACGTTAATTTAACAGCTATTTGAACATTAGCTGGGCCTCTGCCTAGCACTGTTCCAGGACCATGAGCATCTACGGACATGGCATGCTCAGCCTAGTAGTCAAACAAAGAGGCCATCCCCACCTCTTCGGCAGGTTGCAGGTTGCTCCCATTGTGTACCTGCCCATGCGGCTACACGCAGCCGTGCGGAAGCAAGCTGCCATATCTCAAGCAATGCTGAAACGTCACCTTTGGCTCTCTGCCGGCTGCTTATATGGAGGTACGTTGCTGTTGGTGAGAACGGCATCTTGATCTGACGCGTCGGGGCCTTGGACGTCAGGGTCGACTCGTTATTTAACAGCTGCATGCTTAGAACTCCTCCGTGTTCCCGTCCCACATCGCGGTCCTGCAGCCCATCTCTCTGAAGCCGTTGAAGATGGCGATCCACATGTCCCACTGGACGAGAGGCGGATCGTAGCCCTCTCTTGCAAGCTGGTCCTTCTGGGCATTGTTCAGTTTTGCCCTGTCCCGAATTTTGTTCATCGCTGGTGGCAGCTTCAATCTTGCCTCGTTCACCGTCGGGTCGTGCTTAAAAACATCGCAGGCAGCTTCCTCTGCCTGTCCTCGGCTTTGCTGCCACGAGCCGCTGAAGCGTCGCCCAAAGAATGCAGGCGTGATGAGCGTGGCGTAGTAGTCCCCATAGCAACCTGAGCTGTACTCATAATAAAATGCAGGCTCTGGGGCTCTGTAGCGTGACAAGAAGGCCGCAACTGCAGCTTTCGGGCGCATCCTCGCCCAGTCTTTGTTCTTTATGCCCACTTGCTCTTCCATTCTCTCTGCGATCGACTCCAATTGTCCAGATCGTATGCGATCGAGGATGTTTTGGGCCGTCTCGTCTCCTTTGCGAACACCGTGCATGCTATGCTTCGCCGGGATTGTTTGCATGGTGCCTTGCTGCGCGACGTCCTCCTGCAACTCTTCTTTGGGGAGTGGCTCCTGTTGGTCGTTGTGCTCGCACCAGTCGAACCACGCCTCCTCTAGCTTTTCATGCTTGACGGACGGCTGCAGGTAGTCCTCCTCTTGTTCTGCCTCCTCTTTTGTCTCGTCTTTCACCAAGCGCTGCCGCTTACGGGACTCCATTTCTGGAAGGGCTGCACAAGATCCTACAGACAGGGCCCGAGCTGTTAGCGAGCTGAGCCGGTACAATACTGCGGGAGGGCAGACATCCGTACCGCACTGCATCAGCGTTGAACAGAACCTGCGGCCAAGCAACTACGACGATTTAAAGGGGTAACAAAGGCAGAAACGACGTTCGCCATGTTTTCTCAAGCAAGGCATGCTGGCTCTGTGCGGATTCCAGGGCCCATAAATAGGAAAACGGTTGAACGTACAGGCAAGACCCCAAGACTGAGTGACCTTGACAGTCGGGCTGGACAGACATGACAGTGTGTCTTCCTTACACCTCCTGAGCTACTAGCACAGGCTAGCGCCAACAAGCAAGCTGCTCTTGATGAGCGAGGACTCCTTGTCTAAATGACGAAACCAGACCCCGCTAGCCAAATAGGCCCTTTTGGCAGAACTTTGCGACAGGTTATTTCATATGTACGGGAGCAGATATCGCGGGGACAAGTCGCTGTTCCGTGCCGGAACCTGGTGCAAGAACATTCCTATGGCTAGATGAAGAAGCAACCTGGCAAGATCTTGAAACACGTGAACAGGAGCAAGCCGAAAGGTCACTTCCTGAGCATGTCAGAAACAAGTCCGGACCACAGAGTCTCGCATGGCGACCTTGTCACACGAGTTGCAAACAACTCCTGGACAAAAGCAGCCACACATGTAGGGGTCGCCATCCCACGCTCGCAACGGGCCATCAGCATGCTCAAATTCAAGGGCCGGGTCCCCGTGCTTTCTTCGAGCTGGTGTTGATGAGCGCGTCTGTGCCGTGCCTGCAGCAGACGGTTCAGTGCTTTCACGTGCTCGGAGCCGAACGAGCACCCTCAGTAACAAGTTCTACAGCAACCGATACAAGTATAGGCAAGAGAAAACAAATCAGCTGAATGTCTTATATGCACACGAGCATCAAGCTGATCGCTTGAAAAGCTGCATCCCAACTGCACACGACGTTGTACTGGGAGCACGATTGCATGGTAATCAAGAAGACGCACAGCAGCTCGGCGCCAGCATGTGGACACCCAAATGCGGCAGTCGTGGGAGCACGACTTTCGGAGGAACCAACGCCGAGCAGCCAAAGTCTTCACGTCGCTGTGGCGGGAGCACGATTTTGGGACATAAACACACATGGTACCGTGGCAGGAAAGGGATGCACACACCAGAAGAGCCCAAATAAGCCCGGAGCATGGCAGGAGTGCGATGCCGAATTTCGCCTATAAGTCATTTCACAGTCATCGACCCCCGCCAGGAAGCGAACCACTGTGCTCGGCCAGAAAGAGAACACCCTGTGGCGGGAAATGGCGGGAGCACGATTCATCAAGTGAACGAAGGCCTGTGGAAGCCATGCCACCGCGCCAGCGCTGGAGCCATGGGACCACCGCGCGCACCTACTATACGCGAGCGTCGCGACAGGGATTGGAAGCTCTTGCAGTCATGTCAGTCCTAGTCCACACTCAAACCCCATACGGGCTCGTGGCCGTCACCTCCAAAGTCGGGAAATGCATCATGCCTGGCCGACAAACAATCAAAGTGCTTCTCATCCTAATGCTGTGCTACTCGAAAGTATCTAGTCGCTCGCCTTGTAGGCCAAACCCGGCACGGCGCACGTACAAGACTTGTCGCCCAGCCTCATCCAGAGCTTTTTTGAGCAAAGAACTTCCAAGCATTGCTGGAAGATTCCAGCCGAAACTTACAGCAACCACCGCCTGAGGCAAACCCACCGGGGAACGAAACAACGTCCCAATCCTGAGAAATTGCACAATCAATTCCATAGCATTTCACAGTATAGTAACTGCAGGGAGCCTCGTCATGCCAATGCGCAGCTACCTGCGGTGCTGTGCTGATCCGGAACAGGACTTGCGACATGTGCATGCCAAACTGCCACCGTGACATGAGCATCATTGCATCACCTTCCAGATCGCTCCAGGCTCAGGACACAAGAGCCAAAGATCATACGCTAAAATCTATACAAAATGGCAAGTGTTGGTGACTTGCTATGGCCATGCTGACCTCAACAACATTGTGCCCCACTGCTGAGATCGCTCCGAAACATCACCCAGGCTTGGATGCGTGTGCTGAAAGGCAAATCCTCATGGCAAGATTGTTCAGAAGAATGCTGTGCACAACGGCAGCGAGACAGAAGACAAGTGATTTCTGCCTGTCCAGCCCGGACGAAGCTGTCGCCCTGGCCTGAGCCAAGAGAGCAACGTCTCGGATTTTTGCACTCATTACGCATTTCGTTACAGATCTCCAGCATCCGGCTGTTCTGGCAGTTGTTGCTGGGCAGCTGGTTCACGACACGGCTTTGTCGCAACGGCAGCATCTGAGGGGGTGCGTATAGCGTTGTAGTTGTCAAAGCTTTGGCTTTAGGCAACACAAGCAACCTTGTTCTGGTCCAGTGTCTGCGATGGCATCCGCCATAGTACAGTTGTCAGAGTGCTTTGTCAGGGCCTTCTGCACGACCCACAAGCCACGCAACCCCTTGTGGCAGCACAAAGCAGCACAATCAGGATTTTAAGCCAGTTCGGAACGGTAACCCAAACCCTGAACCGTTTGGGGGATATCTGCAGTGTGCGGATTGCCGGCATCTTCGCTGAAACCTTCGCGGCAGCATGAGACTGAGAAGCAGGCTGTCGATAAATGGCAGACAATAAGAAGTGTCAACCGGGCATGTGAGTTCCACTGTAAGTCTCCGAAGTAATTATCCTACATGACAGTATCATCGGGAGACCCTTTAGCCAGACCCGCGCCAGGAACAACAACCTGAAGGAGTCCAAGCAGGCAGCCGGCTGTTCAAAAACATATGGAATAGCATGCAAAAGTCAATCGATAATTGGATTACTAATCTTGGCGTAGCAAAAATCCACACCGCTTCGTCGCCTTCGGGGTCCTCCAAGTCCCCCCTCGCAAAGGCAAGCATCTGTTGTCTGACGTCACCGCAACCAAGGCAGGCATCTGATAGTCATGTCGACCCAGAAGACGCTGTAAAACCCTATTGCTACAACTTACCAACTGGGACAGAGAAGCTGTCCGACCAGAAGGCTCTGTATTATGACTGCAGCCCCGAAAAAGATTTGTGGCCCCCGTCTCATGGCTGAGATGCACTCCTGGCAAGACAGGCTCGATTAGGGGAGCACCTCACAAAATCAAGATCCCCCACATAAACACCAAAATGCAACTGCTCCGTGGCTCATGGGGCCAAGTATTGAGGACCGAACAGCTGCATAAATTTACCCATTGCCGTCCGGTTGCATTCATGTGGACGTTGAAGCAAATCCTCTGAGTTCCGGGCTCATCGCCCAACTGTAGGCCACATTGGACTGATGCATGACCTGGGTGGTGAATACCCTCGCGTCGAACTTGACGCTGACATCTCCGACCCCGTATTCTCAAAACATGTTTCGTGTCACTCTGCTTTCGCTAGTTATAGCTTAGCGCAAGGATTTGGCGCCTGGCCGAACTGTGCACGTAGGCTGCAAAGCAGATTACCAACCGCCTTTGGTACATGAAAGCGGGTCGAAGATCTTCTGCACCCATCTCAACTGTGAAACGCCCTTGAAAAAAAGAAATTTCGAACCGGTAACACTGTGCTGACCTTGCCGTGCTTCGACTGAAACACCAACAAGATAGGTGAGCGCTGATCACAAACATGTACGAACCCGGCCTTCCCCACGAACTCTCCGAATCCAGGGTCCTGCCAGTGCTAGGACAGCGCGGGCTACCCTCTTGAGACCACGACGACCACCACCAACAACAAGAAGAACGACGGCAACGGTCAGCACCTTGCCCTGCGGACAGAAGCCCATCATCTCCCAATCCGGATCCTCGGATCGCTGCATAGAATCTGCCTTGAAAGCATGCAAAGCCACTGCCGAGTGCCAGGCATCGTCCATGGCGGCTAAGGCTAAGGTGGTCACATCCCCAACCAGCAGCACAGTCCAGAATACATACCCGCTTGAACCAGGATACGCTCGGACTGCACCCATCTGCGATTTCGTTGTGCACGCACACGCACGCACGCGCACACACACACACACACACACACGCGCGGGCGCGCGCGCGCGCACACACGCTCTTGCACACAGAGAATGTGGGAGCTTTGGTGTGGTGTTTCAACATGAATGGCGGCGGTGGCAGTCGTGTAATATATGAGTCATCATCTATGACGTACATTACATGGCCTAGCACCTACAGCTTCCTAGATAGCTACAGGTAGCAACGTTCCGGCATCCGTGGTCCGTGGAACACGATTTTAGAGTTGAATCTTTACGTCCCCCGTAGCAGTCGCGATGCTCTTGCACTTTTTGACAGTACATTGGGCTGATTCCGAAGCTGCTGCAGAATGTACGCGCTGATGTCACCCAGCACCAACAAATCACAACGCAAAGCGGAGCCAGCTTCTTAGAGCTGTTCATCAGAAAGACAACTAGAGTGCTCTACCTTATGAGGACAAACCTTTGCGTATCTTCAACAAATACAACCCAAAACATGGACCGAACATGCTGACATCCAATTGCGCAGGGCCACGAACGAATTCAGTCGTTGGAACGTGCAGCAGGCGTGGTTGCACTAAAGTGCAAAGAACTAGATTGTTCCTTCTCTTGCTACTCGCCGAGCGGATCTGCGGCCCAACGTCTCAGCTGTATTCAGCTGTTAGCCAGTGTCGATAGCACACGCTGTGAAACAATAACATGGCTTACTCAAAGTAACGTCCATGGATAGCATTCCTCTTCGCTACCATGTTGTAGAGATTCATGGCCGAGATCAGCTGTGGCTCAGGTTTGGGCGCCTCTATACAGCATCTGAACCTGGCAAACAGACATACTGCGCACCCGGGTAGGGAACAGCAACGGCATAGGGTTCCAGTCCCAGTGCGAGTGTGGCAGGAGCCTGCAGCTTGGGTTTCTATGTGATGTGTAGACTTGGGCGCGCAGCAAATTCTCCCTGTGAAGTTGCCTCCGGCCAGCGCAGCCGAAGAGGCAGATTGTCCCTGGAGAAGTTTCATAAGTCCATTTGCAAGGCACGCAAGCAGCAACGACGTCTTCCTGTGGAAATCATGAGCTGTCCTGCAGCCAGGTCCACCAGTCCTGCGCAGAGTTGAAACGAAGGGCCATGCCCTGCCCATCTCCCAGGGTGTGCAACATCACAAACATCCTAACAGCTTCATGCTTCATGCATGACAGCACGGCAGCTCGTTGGCATCTGTGTGTTGAAGCAAACCAAATCAGCTGTAACCAGCCAGCAAAAAAAAGGTCCGACAGCAAGAGCTGCTGCAATACAATATCTAGAACTTGTTTTATCTGCTCAGCTCCTGACCTCAAGATTTCCTAAATCACTTGCTTGAAGTTAATAAACAGCCCTACACTGTCATTACGACATTGAGCACGAGCGCAAAATGCTGTTTCTGGACAGTCTCCAATTTTGAAGCCGGTGTGTGCGCTACCAACGACTCCATTAACATGCGCCCCCATGACTCCAACATCAACACCGCCGTCATGCTCATCCAGAAAATGCTACCTTATTCTGTTATATCATTTACACTTATACTATGAGAAAGGGTCGCTATATACTCTCATCACTTGTGGCATTCACATACGACGCGTTACCTGTCAATGTTGTGTGGTTCGCCTAATTTCTAGCATGGCGACATCTCCGTCTCCCTCTGCTCCGAACTGTTTGCCAATGACATTCTTCCCGGTGGTTCTAAATCGGACCGTTGAATATATTAACCGTTGATGTACTGCATATGGGCTTGGGAATAACTAAGCCCGCTCAGGCCCCATCAGCTGATGGCAAGACTGCTGTGTTCGTTAGCTGGCTGCGATTTGCGAATCATCTGAGGTCCAAAATCTACACAGTGGCGGTCTCAAATGAGGGGGAATGATCGAAACTCTGGCAGGATTTGGGCAACATGGTGCGATTTAGGCATACAGGTGGGTAACACTCCGCCATGCAAGTCGACATGACAGCCGTCAGGTAAGTTTACATGACTGCATGTGGGTGAAAAACCATCGGTTTCCGGGCTACAGATGACTAGACCATCTGGGGAAACCGAGAAAACCGCTCGAGAGGGACTGGGGCGTTCGAGAACAAGCCGAAGCTGCCCGAAAGAGGATGGAGCATTGGAGCCCCAGGGGCACACCACCTGAAAGGCAATTTCATCCAGAAGAAGTAGAACCGATCGACAGGGACAAGAGCATGTGAGAACAGAAGCAAAGCGTGCGAGCGGGACGAGAGGATTTGAGAGAAAGGAGCACTCCCGCTGGAAACGGCTTAGAGCATGTGGAAAAAAGAAGCAACTCGCTTTACACAGTGGAGTTCTTGAGAAAAAGAGCAAATTGCTCCAAAGGGACTAGACTTTTCAGAGATAGGGGCAAACTTCTTGAAGGGTACTTGAGAGTTGAGACGCGCAAGCTAACTGCTCGAAAGATAGATGCACAGCCTTACTGCCTTCATCATCGTTGGGGCGATGCAGCCTCTGTGAGCTTCAAACGACATGTTACAGCAAAGCAGTCGTAGTGCAACGTCCTCCAATGTAGCAATTCACAATGCTCCTAATGCTTCCTTAGGCTGTATATCTTAATCAATATTTCTTGACGCTGTGCTTGGTAAAAACAATGCGGTTCAACATGTCGCAACACAACCTGGTATACGAGGAACAACATAATGGAATTCAATAAATTTAGTGGCTGCGCCAAGGGCGGGCACGACCAACACAATCCACCTATGCCTCTCATTCGCTATCCAAGCTGCAAGCGAAAAAATCCTTTGCCTCTTCAAAAAGAGTATGCGTCTTCTACCACGACTCGATTACCTGCTATAAGTCTAATTCCACGGAAGACACGAAGAGGAGACGATAATTAGAAAAATATTGCCAGTACTACAAGAAACTTCTTAAAGCATAGCAGATATGAAATGAATGAGTCTAACCGAGCATTCATATACGGTTAGAGTTCGCACTATGCCGCAAAGGCAAATGCGACGCAATGTCATTGAAGTAAGCTGGTTTCTGAGTCAAGCTATGCAAAAATAAGAATGCTGAATTTAACAGAACTTAAAAAGTCCGTGGCATTTCACAGCTGACTTACCTGAAGCGTTGCCACTAAACTCAAAAGACACTATGTTATGTCAGATGCACATGGCGACAATTCTGGACTCGTGGTATTTAATGAGTGAAAGTAGCAACAGGTCATTCTAACAAGAACACGTGGACCGTCGCAAAACCGCAGAAGGCAACTTCGCTGCAACAGGCCTCGCGCAACTAGCAGTAACTAGCACTTACATCACCTTCTAGTAGCTACCGGAGACAGACCTATAATGCTTATTCAAAACATGCATTTCATCGACAAGCAAATTCATTTTCTGTCGTAGACATCTGACAGTTCTAGTTGGGGCGTGAGCCGATGGGGCAGTAACAAAGTAGCACGAAAACCAACTGGATGTTACGACAATTCCTTCAGGCAACACAACCCCTACCACGGATGCTTGCACCGATGTTGCACCTTCGGCAGGGTTCACACATTTCTTCTGGATGAGGAGGATGTATAGAATACTGTAAATACAAGTACTGAATTCTGGAGACGTTGTGAAGGTCCAACGCGCAGAGCTATTTATAGGTAACAGAAACTGTCCATAACAAAAGTACTGAGAAAGAAAAGGGAAAGGCGCGAAACGAAGAAATCGAAAAAGGGCATCAGAACTACTGCCATCAACGTATTCAGAATTCGGAAAACAAGACAGAACAAGTAAAAGCTACAACAATGGGAAGTTTCAAAATACAGTCTGTGTTTATTGCAAATATGCACGTCTTCAAAAGCAGAGCAGAGATCAATAGCATGCCTCAAGATCAGAGGTGGTACGATTTGAAAAAACACTGGGTCTCGAACAGCTGAAGTGAGGGCGGCATTATGCACGATCGCTATACAGCTGCAAATCCAGTGCTGGGTCTCGGGTACTTCAGCAGATGTTCCGCCTGCACATCATCCATTGCGATGCTGTCTATCGCGTGCTGGGCGTAATGCCTGTCGGTGCTCTAGGTACCCCCTAAAGTTGTGTCTTTGAGCCCACCAAAATGGGAAGGTGGGGGGCCGATGATGCAACACATGCATCGCATCTCTAGCCCAGTTGCATCGGCACATGTTGTCTTTGGTTTGATTCATATGCTTTGCCTTGTTCGTGGTGTTAGTACCGTCAGGGATGTTTGTAGTATACGTCGTGTTGTATTGATCTAGAATTCGGAAAAGCGCAGCTGCACAAGAATGGAATGCTAGTACAAACGCTGCCGATAGTTGTGTTCTACATGTATATGTGCACATGCACACATATTCCCTTTACAAGAAAAGAAGGGGTGTGAGGGTTGAAACCCAAGGAGACTCAGGGACGGGGAATGCCAAGTCTATATGTACAGGAAACAGGCTCACAGAGTAGAATGTCCACGCTATTCTCAATGAATGCATGGAACCAGTTCTTGCTCTTGCTCTTGACCTTGCTCTTGATCCTACTCTTGCGCCTGCTCTGGTTCCTGAACCCCCCCCCCATCCAAAATGAGTTTCAAAAGCGGGGATGATTTTAGGACAGTTTCTCAGAAAGTGTTGTTTTCATTACGGGGTGCGTGTAATCTGGCGAACCACCTGTAGTATATGACAGGAAAGTGGGGGCCAACAAGGTTTCACTCTTGGCTAATACTAGTATCAGCGGGAAGTAGTTACGCAACAGATGCACATGCGACCCTAGTTCCAGCTGACATGTGTTAGTCGGCACTGAAAAATGTAGCAGAAAGTGTCAGAATATCCCATAAAAGACACAGCTGGAGAAACTGTGAATGATGCGATTATGGGGTGTTGTAACCCACTGCCACATCCATCAGGCGAGGACACAAATGACGAAGGAATCCAACTGCGCACCTCACAAACCACACAACCTCCATACAAGGACGACGAGGAATGGAGCAGCGGAAATACAGACGACGAAGGTGATATTGTGAATTCAGATTGAAGAGGGCAAACAAAAGCTTTTACAACACTACATGTGTTGACAATTTCTGAAACTTGAAGTTCAAAACTTCGCTATGCCCGAATGTAGTAATGATAAGTGTGCGCAAACACAAACAGTGTTGTGCGTACAAGCGAGAGTCCGAGTGAGATGACAAAGTCATTGTACACCGGGTGGTGGGCGCGGCTCCATCACTCGCGCACTCCCTCCCTCACTCACTCACTCGCTCGCTCACTCACGCATGCACGCTCACTCAGGCATTCTCACTCCTTATACCGCACACTCACTCACGACCTGCCTCCTCCGCAATGCACATGCCTCATGCCACCTTGCTTAGCCCCCTCACTAGGCCTCGCGATAGCCAAAAGCTTCGCAAAGGCCCGCTGCGCCATGTTGCATTCCCTTTGAAATGGGTGCTGCATGTTCGCAAGTTTGCTAGGCCAGCCCGCGCCCGAAAGGCTGGTTCGAGGAGAGCGGTCCGAATTTACTACCAGTAAGTGCCTCCTATCCACGCGTGGCTATGCCACAACATCTTGCTAGTCAAGTTCCAGGACCAGCCACGAAGCCGCCTCATGAATTATTGCTCTGTTGGGCTATAAGCCATAGCAAACGCAGCGCGAGCCTTGTCTGGAAGGGGTTCTCATGAGATGTTAGAGCCGGTCCTGACGTGCTTTGTACTTTCTGCCATGCACATGGCAGGCTGCTGGAATAGCGTCTATGTACGCGACCTCAAGGCTTCTTTCTGAGCTCTGCAACCGCCACAATTGACTTCGACTCGGGGACGGCTGGACACTCCGAAATTCTGCGCAAACGAAAAGCACGCATGGCATCATGTTGGTTGTAAGGCTCGTGAGGTTCACGTCATGATTCAACGTGCCCAAATAATGTTGCCTTGGATGTGTGAATGTGTCCTGCATGTCCTGCATGGCGAGTGGGTGGGACAAGGGCGGCAACACCGGGCGAATGGGAGTTGGGCCAGGACGGCGGGTTGGTGCAAGTGGGGCAAAATGGGCGGGGCAAACGACCATCTTCGCAAAACTTCCCCCCACTCGATAGCCATGATAGCTAGCGTAAAAGATAATGCAAGCCACGAAATTTGCACATTGTCCTTGGGCTTCTGGGTACGCTCAAGCTGTTCCTCCCTGTCCTGCAAATTGGAATTTGGAAGTGGGCATTTAGCGGATTTGAAAGCACCACAAGTTCGCACAGCCAAGTCTGAGCTCCCCGCTATTTCGCGAAGATGCTTCACTGCCTCAGACACAGCTGACGCCGCGAAGACACAATCAGGCGAGCGCACAAAACCCGACTCGGACGAGGGACATTGGTCAAGGCCTCATGCACCCAATGCTGCCACGATACCCAAACAATGAAAGTGTTGGCGAACACATGGATTTAAGCTGGCAGTATTGTTCATGCAAACTGGAACTTGTACCGTGAAGTGATCTGTCATCTTTCGTAAACGCTCCAATTCGCTCAAAAAGCTTTTCCCACACCCCGACATTTCTGGCATACTCGCATGGAATCCCTTGTCAGAAAGCTTCGTTGCACACACCCGAATCTTCAGAAGCCAGCTTCACTTTACATATAGACACATGCACGTATATACATTTACACATATGTACGTCTATACATTTATACATGTATATTACACATACACATATATAATATACTGTCGCATGTTATATCTGTTCCATTACCCGCCTATCTAAATGTTTCAATCACAAAGTCCCAACAAACGACTACAGCATTCGTGCACCCCCCCCCCGCTTCGTCAATCGCACTCTCGCTGCAGTGCATTCCGCGATAGGGCTCGAAAACAAGACGACTACCATGGCGCCGCAGGCATTGTTGACAGCAAATCGTTCGAAGGCTCGCCTGGTCTGCCGTCGGTGTGGTGATTTCGTGGCGGACCTGGGACCCTGGGGTGCTCCCGGAATGACTTTCGGCGTGTGTGACTGACTGCTACGCGCTCTTCGGTGTGCGGGCTGTGCGTTGGCATGTGTACATATATTATAGAGAAAGAGTGTGTGTGTGTGTGTGCAAAATTCCACTATACAGTCTAGACAGTTACGAGCAACCTAGGGATCAATCACTTTCCCCACGGACACAATCCATTCACCAAACATGCACAGTGATCCACCGTATTCACGCGAGCACCTTCTGCTGTAGGCAGTCTTTCCATCAGATCCAATCAACTAGCGGTTGATTAACCACTGAGCATGCTTCACGCACCAAGTGAACATTGGAGACTCTGATGTCAACTTCAAACCAGTCGAGCCTTGAACTTGCGACATCAGTGTCCGCAACTGACCATACAAGGTCCTTTTTACATTGCCGATACTTCCTTGACTCTGGCAGTGTCCAGTCGGTGCTGCGCGCAACGACAGTCCACCGATCGTTTTGCAAAGATCCTTGGCAATCAACTTTAGTGAATCAATCTCAAACACAAATCGACGAAGTTCGGCAACAGCATACAGCATACTTCTCAATGCTGCCTTTCGCTGGCAATACAACAGCCATTGCATAACCAGTCGGCACGTCGGTTGCATTCAAGATCGTGCGTTTCGGGAGGTCATTCTCTGTGGACAAGAAAGAGAAATCAATCTGGATCACTGGTTGTCGGGCATTCTTCTTTACAGCATGACTTTGCCGTCCTTTCGAGCGAACACAGTGTTCACACCAATCACGATATGGCAAGTGGGTCAACTCATGCAGTCTCCTTTCACTCTCCGACGGCTCATCAGGAATCTTCAACATTTTCGGCTTCAAGGCACTCTTGTCGTCAGTCTGCTGCTCGGCATTTGCGCCAGCAGTCGGTCGATCAAGAGGAACAAACAATGTGTAGCCGATCCATTTGTGACCGGTGGGACCTCTCGGGTCCTCACACTTCTTGACACTTCCATCAGGCATCTCGATGTCTGCCCATTCATGTTGATGTCCCGTGTCAATCTTCGAAGGGTCACTAGAATCGAAAAACATTGTGTACCGATCGCCCCACAAGCAATCACTCAACAATCCATCGACAGGTGACGAAGGATCATCTGGGTGGAAATAGCAGTCTCTCCACTCATGATGCATTCGTATCCAATATCGAGGTAGCAATAACCAGCGGTCAGCAGTCCGGGGCGCTGCAGTCTCAGGATCCTCGAGATTGAACACTTGCAACAACAACTCCTTCATGCTACTTCCATGTTGCGGCAGTGCCCGCAGGGTGTTCTCAAGCTCACGCTCCTCAACATTCCGACTCATTCTCATCTGGCGATCAAGAACCTCAGGCTCAACATTGGCCTTCTCCATTGTCCCATTCGGGTCACTGGACTTATGGAATTCGACAATGTTTTCATTCACAACCTCGGTCTTATCACGTCCGATCATTGGATCATATGGGCGTGGCGCAGTCTTCTAGACAATCACAATCTCACCTTCCTTTGTGCAACCAAGCAGTCGTCCGGTCTTGAGCCAATGCCATTCGGCATTGTTGCATTCACAAATGCATCTTGAACATTGAGGGCTCATTCGGGAGGTGTCATTTAACACAGTCCCTTGATCTTGACTTCAGTCGAAGATCATTCAAATCACTAACTAATATAAACAAC